ATTGGAACAAATTGTACAAAAGCAACATAAATAAATAAAACATATGATTGGTATAAGAAATATATTTACCAGTTAACATTAAGATGTAGTTAGTATTATGTTTTATATCAATTTTGTTATTACAATAGATATGCCTGCAATATCGCAGCGACATCTTATCAACGCTCTAAATAGAATCATCATTTTCAAACAAAGGCTTGGAATTTAATCATTTGAAATGAAAAAGAACGGAGTAAAAGTATAACATTGACAAGTAGATGTTTCTGATAACTGAGACACTTTCCACGAGAGATAGCCGGAAAAACGATTGAAATGTGTTATTTAATATCTTATTACATTAATATTATTGTATTATACGGGGCTCTTCAAATGTTGTTTTTTGTCAAGCTTAACACCCGGTTCAAACAAACTTTAACCGCTAAGGCCAGTATTCCATTTATAGGTGAACGTGTAACGCAAACGTAAAAATCGAACAAACCATTTTTCTGTTGTTAGTATTCCATATCGACGTTAGTGAAACGCCAGCGTGAAGGTGATCGCTACATGTAGTGATTTTTAGTCCTCTGTCCAAGCCTGAAGTGACTGAAAAGGTCATAGAATTTATCAGAAAATCCCCTGTATTGTATGATCAGTCGCTTAAAGAGTACAAGGACACAAAGACTGGGTTTTGCGGAGAATCGCAATTGGAAGTTTATTTCGTATCAACCACTTATGTCTTCGTTTGTGCTTGCGTGCATGTATATAAAATGCGGAACCAGAAACAGCGACCATTACATCTTGGACACGCCTCAGAAATCTATATTTTTTAAATTCTTTAGAAATGTCAAACATGAGTTTAATAATGGTTTAATAACGGTTTTAGAACATTTTAGATATTTAACAAATGAAATAGAAGCGTTGAATTTGCAAAAATGTGTCGTAAAGGTAGCAAAGTTGTGAACAAAGAAGTATTTTGACTTCCATACAAAATTCTAATTCACTATAAATATAATGCAAACAGAGCTAAAGGAGCAATAGACAGTTCATGAATATGGCAAAGTATTATTTTGGAACTGTAACAATATACCAAAAATAAAAAGGTTTTGAGGAAAATAGGCACAATGGATCTTTAAGCAGCCAAAAGTATGTGTATGGACTGGTCAAATGGCAAGTGACATAGGTATGTAGGGCTGCCCGGCTCTCCACATGTGGCAAAGGGGGTCACAAGAATGCTGTAGCACCGCTTGCCGTTTAAGAATTTTCAAACGGCCACTATCTGCGTGTGAGGCATACGTGTGAATACTCTTTCCCGGATAAATGCAACCTTGTTCTATTATAATTTCACAATATTTTTTCATATTGAGTTTACAAGGAATATTTCAACACTTCGTATCTAACAGGTTTTCGTAAATAACATAATTTCTCTGGGAAACGTGCTTCAAAGGTAGAAAAAAATATCCAAAGTTTGAATAGAAATGTGAAATACTGAATTTTGTCACGTAGTAAATCATATATTTTGAGAATAAAATAGATTTAATTATCGTCAAAGTAAAATCAATAGAGTATTAATAGTTCCACAAACGGGAAAGTGTGGTTGAAATATTCCTTAGACTTTCTTAAAAATCAACGGAAAGCGGATTCCTGAAAATATCAAATGAAAGTGTTACAAAAAAAGTTTCGGACGAATTTTGTGAAAGTTTAATGACAGCAAAAATTGTAAGAGCCCCAGGTGATCTTTGAAAGAATTCCAAACTTTAGTTCCAAATATAGAATATAATTATCTGACAGACGTGTACAAAGTACATGTTTGCACGATATACGTGATATTGTGATGCGGACATTTTTAACATTTATATAGCCGATACCATCAAAGGCGTTACAGAACTTTACAAGTTGGCATTGTCACACGGGTATGAATAAGTTTAAAATAAAAATGCTGTACACAATCCAAAATAATCAGATTTAAACACGTCATTTACTTATATACAAGTTTAAAGCTAACATTGATTTGAGTAGTATTTGAAGAAAAATTCGTAAAAGAATTTGATTAATATTACATTTAAACTATGAATCATAATATATCAGATTTTGATTGATTCCTAAAGGTTCGGTTGGTAAGTGTTTCGTTTTTTTAAATAAGATGTTTGGTGAAATTTGACATTGTCAGAAAAAGGTGACCATTTACGGTAATATTTCTTAACATACCTTTCCTTTCATTAACAAAACGTAAATATAAATTGGTATTCATCTTCTATATCTATGGTGTTACAAAAGATACAAAATATATGTATTGTGCAGATATCCGTTTTCCCCGAGTCTTCAATTTAGAATATACATGAATATTTACGTTCTTCGAACTAGAAGTATATATTCTTTACATTAGGATAACATATTGAATTAAATGTAACAAAAAATTCAAATCTCTCGAACGCTCGACACTTTAGCAGTTATGAGCTGAAAGACAACTCTTAAACTAAAACATAACTGTCTATTCAATGTATTACCTCCCTTTACATACTTTTAAAGTAATCGATGTTCTGTATAGGAAATAGTCGATTGTTTCAGTATTTGATACTACATGTAACTTCAATTTTTTGTTCCACGGCACCTCCATGTTAGAAGTCTTTTTCATGCTGTCGGGAGTGTAAATGAGAACTGTAGTTCATCATTCTCGCGGCTTATTGTAAAAGATTTTCAATGAAACCACCTCATTGATTTTCAAATACAATATATTCATCGTCAGTTCCATCAGAATTAAAACAGATTTTATAGACAGTTTACTTCGCTTGAGTGCACTTGGTTGCACGTATTAATTTCTTGTAATAGACTTTTTCTTGAACCATTGAGCTGATATTTTGTTCTTTGAAGAGAATATTCTAATGTTATTGACCCTGCAAGAGCATACACACTGAATTTGAGCCATGTATATGAAGATAGTAAAATTATCAATTCTATATAATAGGAACCCGACATAAACATGGCGGTCAACGTGCTCCGTAAGCACCCCCTTTTAAGGTATTTTGTCGTTCATTTTTGTTGCGGCATGGCCGAGTGGTTAATGCGTCTGACTAGTAATCTAATGATCGCTAGCCGCACGGGTTCAATGGCAAGTCGCTGTTTTCTCCAACAAGAAAATTTACACTCATTGGTCAGTACTGGTTGGTTCCAGGAACGGATTCAAATCTTATCTATTGGCTTATAGCCTCCTACATTATCGACCTAAAATAAATCTCTGTAAACCAAATAAAGAAATATGGGAAGCTACCACAGTTTAAACTAAAATGTGTTGTTTTGATTGACTTAGGGCAGGCGGTGTACGGGTAAAAATGGTCAAATGCTGTCAATCGTGTATGTCGCCGTCCAGGACGAATTATGTGAATTGTATAAAGAATTCAACGCAACAATCTTGTTTTATTAAAACACAGTTTGACGTCTTTAATTGGCAGAATATAAAAAGCACACAACAGTATTGTATACATGTACAACTCATCTATAAAATTACATACATCCAATTAATATTCAATAATTAATATTCATATCGCATACATATTCATATCGCATACATATTCATAGATATTTAAATTTTAAACATACCGGACAATGTTGCACTATATATTTAATACACATAGCACAAGTACAATTTGAATGCGGAATATATTATGTTTAAAACAAAGACTCATACAAAACTGTTAATTTGTTACCGATACATCAAAGTTGTTGTTCAATCATTTTTTTTATTTGAATAAATTAAAGGAAAATCATAAAATACATTTTTTCCCATCATATTATATCAATCCGCCATTGTGTCGAAAGTCTAGGCATGGTTAAAGGGACTCCACTGATGTATTTTGAAATGACGGGGCTTCACATTTTTTCCAGACATTTTTACCATTTGAAGTAAGTCTATACTGATAAGTTGTGAGCAAAATGTCAGGACATTTGCTCACTCAGTTTTTCTAAAATTATATTTTTTATTGTGCAAAACATTCCCGATGGTAGACATCTTTTAACGATAAGCATTTTCATTTTTTTTAATCTGACATTTTTAAATCTAAACTTTTGTAAAATTCATAAATGTAAAATCTGAAAAAAAATCACGACACGGTATGATAATAAAGACACTTATAATTACACATCAATGAAATACCTGTTTTATGTATATTATATTATATATAAATATGAAAAGAAAATGCATTACATAAAAATGGAGGAAATATTTACCACCACACACAACAGGCACGCGGCTCATAAATTACAAATACACTCAAGAACATGTTATACATAAATAAGTAAATTTACCGCTGTAGTAAACAATTTATATCTTAAATAGGCAATGAACACATCACTCATGCAGAATATAATTCTCACGACTTTTTTCCCCTCTTTTGCAGGATCTTATTTTATCTTCTTCACATTCAGTCCGGGCACATCCATGTCTTTGACTCATGTATCTTTTGTACGGCTATATTTTCTCTGTGGTAATGAAATTGTTTTTTTTTCTGAATGGTAACTTTTTCAAAGCCCAAGTAAACGCTCAAAATACCTTTAATAAATTTATTTTCCATACCGGAAGATTAGTACATGTAATACAGTATATACAGTGGCGTAGCTTCTAGTAGGCCGTGAAGGTGTATATACATTTTCTGGAAAGATGACAAAATAAAATAAATTTATTTGTCTACATGCATTTTCAAATCATCCCCTGAACATATATTTTTACTAAATGTACGTCAAAACGCACCTGCGAGAATCAAGAATATATTTGTTGGGAGTGAATGCCTCCAGACACCCCATTCCCACCTGTAATTCGGCCTTAACATGAATTCAAAACAAAGCTACGCCCCATCTATGCATTATTCCCAGCACCTGTATTGATTCTTGGAATGATAAAAAGAGATCTTGGAATTTGAATACCTATACTCGTAGATCCAGCATTACACATGTTAAAACGGTTTACTATGACTCGAACTTTGGTCCTCATTGACAGAAAGTCGGTGATGTATGAGAACTACTAAGCTAGCCTAATCTTCATGATTGAGATTGTACGCGGCGAGTTTTAATCTAAGTAAAGGTGACTGGGTGATTAAAGGTGTATCGCTGGTTGGCGTCCTCTGAGACCTGATAGTTCGCGGCGACTGGTTCGAGAAAGTGCTGTCGTATGACATTTTTCTTTGTGGACCCGGTGACGGAGTGCTCACACCACGTGACAAGGAGCCTTTGTCACCTCTACGCAATCCAAACTGAGGCGAATAAGTAGGATTAGAAAATGTATTTTCTCGGGACAGTGTCCCCGTTGGAACCTCTTCCCCAGGGGAATAGTCCCTGTTTTGTCCCTGCAGCATTGTAAGCAAGTCATTTTGGTAGTTTGTTAACGGCCCGGTGCTGGGGCTCCTGTTCATGTCATCGTAGTCATGGTTGGCATATATATTAATAGGCTTCTTTCTGTCAATACTGTAGGTTTTATGTCCCGACGTGTAGGTCTCGTCGAGCTTTGATTTAAGGATTGGGGGCGGAGCTACGTATACGTTCGGCGACATGTTGTAACGAGTTTTCTTCTGGTTGCTGGCCTGCTGGTTCCTCTTTTTCTGTCGCTGGAACTGTAGATACAACGTGATTGCCATGCACAGGAAAACAACGCCGAAAGAGCACGTGGTCACTATGATGAACAAGGTCATTTCGTCCATAGTTGGTATAGTGTGGCCTGTTGTAAATCAAATAAATATTTGTTTTGAATATGTAAATGTTTTGTTTGTTTTTTCGGTAGAAAACAAAGGAAAGATAAAAAAAATCTTAAATTTATACAAACACTTTTAAAAGTTCAAAACATTAAAATTTAAGTCTGCATACATGATCGATACTGATATAGTTTTAAATGCAAATGCGACACAACTGAAACAAACATAGCGCAATAAGACCATTATCTATTGAATATCTCGCTTTTTTCATAATCTATGTAAATTTCAGTTATTTAGTATAGTCCGGCAATTTTTAAGTTACCGGAAGGCGTAATACGGAATAGGAATTTGAAATATTGATAAAGAAAGGAAACGTGTCACATTTATGTAAATGATACGTACACTGATTGCTGGCTGTAGCACCGGTTGGTGACGTCCGGCCTGGATGACACATTTTACACATGACCTGGCCGTTGTTATCTTGGTAATACCCAATAGAACAAAACTGACAAATGTTTGAGTCTGTATTGTGGAACGTCCCAGGAGGACAAGAAACTGTAAATATAATTTAACATTGTTATAATTCGTACTGAATACTATAAATGGATAATACAAAACTAAAATAAATAAATTCATTTAGTTGTTCAAGGACAGATAACTTGCTTAAAACGTTACTGGAATCTTACCTAAGATCATCCAAAGAGTAAATAATTTCTGCTATAATGTCATTGTTTTTATGCCCTTAAATTGATATGGGTTATACAAATAGACCTTCAGCGACAGTGAAACACAAGTAAAGCATCAGGGCCACCTGCGCGTCTATTCGATATTGTCGTCTGCTTTTTTGCCACTAAAATCCCTTAAACTATTAAAATTCAAGGCAGGGCACGCCCATTACATAAAATTAGTTTGTTTTGATTTTAAATTCATTTTTAGATATTTAAAAAGTCAAAAATACAAAATAATGTATATTCTTATGAAGAACTTTTCATAAAATTGTTACGATCAAGCTTGAGATTTTGCTATAAATAGCAAAGAAATACAGTGAAACCTCTACAGAGTGGCCTTCTGTAGAGCAATCACCTCTTTACAACTACCGTTTCAATTCTTCCCAAAGTAAGACTTGGTCCTATCTAGACCACCTCCCAACAAAAACTCAAATCTATGTGTCCCTAAAGGATGTTGCTGTGCAGAAGTTGTAATTTACTTTTAGCAAAAACTAAAAAATCTTTGCCTCTCAAAGGGTGTCGCTCTGTGGAGGTGGTTGTAGTGTAGAGGTGGTTGTAATGTACTTACTACAAAGTCCATGTTCTTGTACTTGTCCAACAGGGCATGACCAGATGCCGTCTGATTTAACTAGACTCTCTGCAATGGCTTTATACATATGACCTTCAATATTAAGCTGTATTGCAGAGGCGAGTGATAATAGCTCCAAATGAATATCTTGTAACAATGTCTGCACATCTGCCCCAGTACTGAAAACATGAGAATAGTAAATATTCATATTTATTTATAGATGACACATAAAACAAACTGTAATTTCTTTCAAATAGTCATTTGATTAATGGATATTTCATGAAATCTAATATCAGTTAAGTTTATTTGCTAGTCCGACCAAAGTTCAGCCAGCTCTTGAGAATTAAACATATGATAAATGTGTCTGTCTCTCAACCCAGTGTTCGAGGGTTCGAGTCTGCGCGCCCTTACGAGACCATTAACGGTCAACACAGGAATGTTTTCAAATAACCTCCAAGTTTTCTTTACATAATATTAAAAAAGATCTTAAATGGCCGACTTTAATTGATATCAATAATAATAAGCCGATCAACAGAATGTGTAATATATAATTAAAACAAAGTTTGACATTTTCGCAAGCAGATAATAAAAAATGACCACCCTTATGCAGTCTTTGTCAAAATTTGCAAACATTGTTTTTCGGTAAAGATTTTAAAGTTAATTTAGTTGTGTTTGCGAGATAAATTGTGGTTCCCTGCTTGCAATGGCTCATAATCTATGCGGGATACATTACATTAGCTTAGGAATTTTCATATAAATTATGTAAGTCAAAGATTGGAATTCAAAATATACCTGTTTGAAAGGGTTATATTAAAGATAATGAAGAACTCCGTTCTTTTCTCCTCATCTAAACACGTGCCATTGTCCATCTCGTCTACGATGACGTCATCATCACATTTCATGCTAACGTTACTAAAATGACAAACGTCATCAATACACAGACTCTCCTCTTCAAGAGTACTAACGATAGCCCTGTTCACGTCATCTCTGACCTTGACCTTGTGAAGACTAATTGGACCTTTCACCATGAAGCTGAACGTCTGTCTTAGCAAGGACGGATAGTTATGCTCTAAAATACCAGAAGGTAATATAATACATCTAATATTGTTAGCATTATTTCCTTATCAAACAAAGAAGAAACTGTCGAATATCATACAAAGACGAAAATCTCGGGTAATTAAACACAGAAAAAACCCTCGATTATCAAAGAAGAAACCTTCGAGTATTTAACTGAGTCTAAACCTCGAGTATCAAACAACGACAAAACCATCGAATATCAAAGTTTTAACAAAGACAAAACCCTCGTGTCAAAGATGAGACCCTTGGTTATCAAACAAAGACGAAAACCTCGAGTATAAAACAAAGACGAAACCATCGATTATCAAACAAAGACGGAACAGTCGAGTATCGAACAAGGAAGAAACCTTCAATTATTAAACAAAGACAAAACCCTCGATTGACAATCAAAGACGGTTCTTCGGTGCATAAATATACGATATAAGCACGATGTATGCCAAAAAATTATAAATACATATAGACAAATCATGACTTGTCTAGTTAATTTTGTTTTTTAATAATCCTTATATCTTAAATCAATTTTACTCATAGTTAAAAAAAACACCCTTGGCAACAGTATATTGGATTGATTAGAAAATCTACGTACTTAAACAAGGTTCCTGCGTCGCCATTATCTTTTTTAAATCGTCTACATCATCTGGATGTCTGCAGTTGAACAAGCGTCTAAAAGTTGGGACTGGATTTATGACATAGCCTTGCTCACAGATAATTTGACATTTTTCTCCAGTAACGCTGTCACCTTGGCTACAGATCATTCCGCCGTGATGAATGTCGGGCAGGTTGCAGACGTGATCTACAAAGCAAGTCATTTATATGATTATTTTTGTAATAATTTATATGGCATCAGTTATGAACAAGGTTTATCAAATTATTGGAAAACATAACTTTTTATTCAGTCTGGAAAACACATTACATAAACTCTGGCCGCCATAAGTTGCAGTTATTTCTGCCAATTCTTTCTCTAACATTTTCATAACATAGTTTCCATCTATACATGGCGTCTGTTTTTACAAATTTAAAAGTTGTAAAACGCCTTATTTATTTAGACTATTTTTATAGGGCTGTTGATATCATAGGACGGACAACTAAAACATATGTTTATAGATATTTCTGTTGGTTTTAAGTCATCTTGATTCTATGTACAAGCTGAACTGATGGATGAAGATCTCATGTGCGTGCCCCTTAATAAACCAACCTTCCGTAACCTTGTTTGATAGCTTCATCATATGAAATAACCAAAAACCCCTTTTGGGATTCGAAACCATAGTGACAAAATAACCAAAAACCCCTTTTGGGATTCGAAACCATAGTGACAACAGTGTGGGCAAGAGTACCCAAGTCAGACACCTTAGCTACTCGGCCACGGAGGTCCCTTATTGATAATTTAAAATAAATTAACATACCATGTAAAACAAACACGCTGAACACACACGTGGCTGTATTTCCGGCAACATCAATGGCCGTGTAGTTAACTTTAGTTTCTCCGGGCAGAAAGTGTGACCCGGGTGTATGAGTACTTTCTACTGTTTTCACTTTCACATTGTCTATAGCTTCCGGTACAGTCCAGTTAACATATGTTGAGTAGTCGGCAGTTCGTACCTTAACGGTTTCCGGACATGACGCAAACATTGGTGGGTCAACATCTTTAAATAGATAAATTGAAAAGAGATTAATCAAGCGTTCTGTTATATTAGGATAAAAACTAGAAAGGAAGTTTAAGGTCTATTTTTAAATATAACAAGAAAAAACGTATATTTATTTATCATTCCAATTGAAATAATGTTCTATGTGTAAAAATGTGGGTCGCGAAAATAGGTGACATTCATCGATTTGTTGGAAACATTTCTGACTTTATGTAAGGCTTGACCAATTTTATCACATATATACATGTACATATAATATAATTTATTCCACTTCTAAAGTATCTTGATTGTATGCCTGGAGAATTGCAAACAGCTTCTTCGATATTAGAATACTTTTTAAAGATAACTTTAAAGTTTGTTTAATAAAATTTGTACATAGAGCTGATTTAGAATTATCACAAAATTGACCTTTAAATATTAGCTTTATTTCAAATTTTATGGTATAAAATAAAAAAGGACGCAATTCTAATCGGTTGATATGTTATTGGGCTTCGATTTACACTGACGCCGGAAAGGACATACGAAGAATATTCCAGCAAGACTGGTAAGGAAAAAGTCAGATATCTTTCCGTGCATTACTAGTATTTAAGGCGTCAACGGGCACATCAACCTTTTACAAGCAAGTTTTAAACCGTATATAGCAACCACTACCTTGAAGTATAACAGTAAAAGTGCATTTCTTTTTCTTGTGGTTGGAATCAGTGACATAGAATGTGACACTTTGTCGACTTTCTGACTCATCACCTTCCCACGTAACAATTACACCAGACTCGGTCATTTCTCTGTCACAATGAAGTGGCAGTGGCGATCCATTGCTGTTATAGCCTGGATATAAACAGTGAACATGTACATACAAATGTGTATGCCTTTGTCAGGTGGTGTAAATGACTCGGTTTAGACTAATGAGTATGCATTGACCACATATAACAGTCATAACAAATACTAATACATATAATTGAATTTAGTTTATTGTTTCTAATTTTCAGCAAGAATGGAACTTCGACTAGGTACGGAATAGATATTTTTTCCAATCTATTTTAAACTTAATGTCATTTTGAAAGATTTTTAGCATCTAATAGTTAAAATTCTAACTAGAATTCAATTTTGAGCCAGTTTGATAAAAGAACAAAGTTCATATTAGGCTTTTAAGGTGAAATTTCGAGTAAAGATAAATTTAAAGAATAAAGAATAATTGTCATTTACAAGGAACAAACACTGTAATTTGCTTGCTTAAGTTTGTATAATGAATTTCTTTGAGTTTCTGTTAATTAAAACATACCTATTGGTTTTATAGGAAGTTCTACAACTTTGTCTGTGCTAGGAACCCGGGCTATAATGGTGTCGCTTGGACAATTCTCAAAATATGGAATCCCTGAAAATATAAACACTGTGAATGTTGATGTATGTTGAGCAGTAATATTGTTTGGTCCACAGTCATCATTAATAACATCACCGTTATTATCATCATCATTATTATCATCATCATAATTATCAACATTAACAACATTATCATCATCATCATCATCTTTTAAATCATGATCTTTATAATCAAATCATATTTTTTTAAAACTTGTACATCATCTAAACAAAGTTGCAAAAGCATTATAAAATATGTAATTGAATATTATAAAATATGTAATTGAATATACGAGGGTTGTCCCAATATTCTGTGACAAGATTGTTTAAAAGCTAAATAAAATAGGTACGAGTTTGATATTTTAATATGTTATAAACCCATATAATTGAAACATTTTCACAAATTTACATAGAAAACTATCAACAAACAACAAAAATATGCCATCAACACCATGGCAACTAACTGAATCGCGGCGCACGTCAAACGTCAATGACGACGTTATATCTATATCAGACGGCTTTCTCAAATACGCTCAATGGCTTTCAACGCAATAACGGTGCAGCTTTACCCATAAATCGTCAATTACAGACTTAAATCATGTGGTTGTTAATGTCTGTTGCATGTTTGGATGACATACATTAATTTTTGCTATACGCGAACTTCCGGTCTCCTTGCACCTGCTTTTAGCTATACGAAATCACAGGCACGAGTATCGGACCTGGGAAGAAAAAATATGACCAGATTGATAATAAAACCTGTGTTCATCTTAAAAGTGTCAAAAACCAAAAAAAATGTAAATAATGACCCCCTTTAAAAATAAACTATAAGTTAAGTGAAGGCCGGAAACTCCAGATTCGAGCCTACGAGCAAGGGATTCATTTTCCGGGCCGTTGTGAAAACAATTGGCCAGACAATTACAAAAAACTTTTATCACTATTTCACGTTTGTATTAAGCTTCAAAATGAGACCAACCCCAAGTCTCTAGCCCTACCCGTTCATGAAATATTTATCAGAAAACGAGCGAATTCGTGCTAAAAATCCTTGGTTTAGCGCAAAACTCTGGTTCCGTTCATGTCTTTAGTAAACAAATGCTCAGTATATGTTGCTAAACTGTTCTATTTGGTATATTTGTTAAAAATCGTAACATGTGTCATCTTGAAATAGTCATGAGACCTGAGTGACCTGTTCACTGCGCCGCAAATTCTTAGAACGTCGCCATTTTAACTTTCCTATTTTATATGAGATATTTTCATTTATTCGTATCTTTTTCGTTTCTTAATTTATTTAACTAAAATTTTCTGAGATGATGTAAACATAGCAGCAGAGGAAGTCAACGTGACATTGTGCAGACACATCATCAGATATTTGAAATATACGTAATTAATTTTAGCCTATTCATAACAAAATGCAAATTATTTGACGTGCGCCGGCAACTCAACCCAATGTATTTAATACTGAAAATTTCTAAGTAACTAGAGTGAATATTTTGTAAATGATTTGTTGTAATGTTAAATAATAAACTTAACGTTTATATGTGTGAATTATTTTCTATTGGCGTTAAAAATGAATCGTCTATAAAATTTGTCACGGACTTTTGGGACAACCCTCGTACATGCTAAGCGAATGCATATATATATTTACGTCAGGCAATTGTTTTTGCAAAAACAGAAAATTAAAATAGTATCAATTATTATAAAGTATGGTATAAAACTACATATAAGTTACCTAAATTTCCTCCATCATATATACCGTATACATCATCTTCATTGACTGTCGTCACAATCTCTGTAGGTGATTTTGTTACGTATACTACTTCCTCCGTAGACTGTGTCGGTTTCGGCTCCCCAGTATGTTCATCAAATATCTTATACTCTGTGGAAAAACCTCTAGGCTCGAGTCTATCAGACGTCATAGATGACGTATTTCGGATTTCGACGTCATATTCTGTGACTTCTTCCGATGACGCTGTTGTCTCTGACGCAAGTTTCCAGCGTAAATCTGGTAGCTTTTCAAACTTTTTTGCTGTAGTTGACTCTTCTTCCGTCGTTGTTGATTTTGTTGTTGTTGTAGTAGAAGTTGTTGTGGTTGTTGTTTTTTCTGTAGTAGTAGTTGTTGTTGTTGTTGTTGTTGTCGGAACTAGATTGAAATTGAATTGAAAGAGCTATATATTTTTTTTTAAATAGTTCCATCGAATAGTTACGGTTCATTTAAGAGAATTGCATACTAGTATTTCAATTGATTTAACAATTAATATCTACTTTGAATATTGTAAGTAATATGTCACCTAAATGCTAATAAAATTTTCAGTGAACAATTAAAAAATTAAAGTTACCCAGATATTAAATCCGAACATAAAACTTCATATATTTGTCATACTGGACGCAGAACGTTTTTGTTTTATTTATACTTACTTTTGATACAAGTTCTTTCATCACTTTCAAGTATTCTGCCGTTATAACATGTACAGATATAATCATTTCGCAGTAAAGGTATACAGACGTCCGAACAATTACTTTGATCACAGGCATCTGTAAATTAATTTATCGAAAAGGCATTCATTATACAATTATAAAGTGTTCGAAATATTTTCTTAAAAACATATAACATGTTTTCGAGTGTTTTACGAGTGTTAACGAAGACAAAATATACATAGTGCTGAAAATAAAATGTGTACTCGTCATATACGTAAGTGACGTCAAATAACCATATGACGTCAAGTAGATTAATCGTATTTCTCCGCTAAATCTGGATGTTTTTGATAGTCCTCTATCTATAAGCATGTTAGATTGGATGTTATAAATATTTTATAGTGTAATTATATGATTTTGCAAGATTTATAATTTGTATCTGAATGACCGATTGTCATCGTGACGATGTCACTGTGCATCAATAATACTGAAACCATGCAATATGACAACACACTCAAACTGTCTTATCTTAGTAAACGTTACACAGGTTTGTATTAAATCAAAATCTGACTAAATTTGATTGTGTTCACGAGAAAAAGCAACATAAATTTACCGTTTGATTGCGACGAAAGTTGAAGAGCCAGTGCAGAAGGTTTATCGAGACGGTCAGCTAGAGTCATTGTGGCCCCAGATTTCACATCCGTAACTTTAATGACCCGTTCCTTCGTATCAGATATAATCAGAACGTCTTCATGGACAAGAAGGTGGTTGATTTCAGGTGAGTCCGGATATATCACCGACATTATCTCTCCTATTATGTATAAATATCATGAAGAAAATTAATACCTTAGTTTTAGTGCACTGTCGTCATTGCTTGAAGAAATTTCGTTTATTTGAGGACCTCTTCCGGACACTGAGTCCGATTTTTATCTTACACACCTTTCAATAAATGTTATTTATTGTCAATTTTATAATAATCTACTATATCTGGCTGAAGATTATGCTTAATTTATAAAAAAAAAATATTCTCCGAGAAAACTTACAAAGGGAAGTAACCTTTATAATCTTTCTTGATACCGAAAATTATGTCTCTTATCAAGATAAGAAAACGATAGGTAAGTAAAGGTCATCTAATTGAACATTTGTACTCAAGTTAAGATAAGGTATAACGTACCATCAAGGTTGATCACCACAATTTTCCCGCCCTTTTCTGTAACATAAAGCTTGTCTTTTGCGACATACAGACTGTTTGGTGATTGAAGGCCCTCTTCTAACACATTATTATACCGTACTTCCGGTTTAGATTTACACGAACCTATACCCGCAGCTTCGAATTCTGTCTCTTCTTCTATCCAATAAAGCCACCTTAAAAGAAATAAATGAAACTGTAAAGAAGTCTTCAAGATACTATGCCTTTTGTTATATTTGTGAGAAGTTAGGACCAATCGACACAAATGTGGACCAGTCGTATGTGCAGATAATTTAAATCACTCTTGCTAAGAAGCTCTATGAATTTACTTTTTTCTCTTGTGTTCTCGTAGTTTTCTTATTGCATATAAAGTATAAGTTAATATATAATGTAACCAAGTCAAATGTTATTAATCATAATTCTTTTATTTTTAAAAGCAGTCTCAAAATTTATGAAGTTTTTAATGTAACTTAACAAGCAATTCATTCATATGTATCGCATAAACAAAGGATTGACATACCTTCCCTTCGGATGTAATGACAATGACGTCATAGTTCTGTGGTACGAGAACAGAGTAAGTTTAGAGTCCAATCCACGTTTCATGTTTAAACTTGAGATATAAAATCCCAAACTTTTAGCAAACTTGCTTGACCAGTACAGACGCTGACGTCGAGGGTCAAAGATCATTTCTTGTAGTGGGTCCTCTTGTTTGTAAACTAGTATCGGCTCTATCTGATGGAGATGTGATAGGTATATTGAATTGCTGAAAAACAAATAGGACACACAATTTTATATCTAAAAATGACACATGACAAATACAAGAGTACAACCATTCAGTCCTTCAAATAGCGGCCTACATTTTGTTCCATATTTTATTGACGGGCAATGCTCTTAATACACGCGGAAACGCATATTTTTAAATTTCAGATGCGGGGAATCATGATTTCAGGCCACCCGCCAGACTTTAAAATGTGTCAGTATTTGCAAGTTCCTCAAGCTTCACCTTTGACATATTATATGTTTCTTCTTTTACAATTTAAGGAAATGGATAAGCACGGATAAGCAACAAAACAAACTGTTGTACTCCCTTCCATGAAATGCCACATATGCTTTGTTGCTCGTCATTTATTGTTACATTGGCCTCCCATACCTAATATTCTAGAAATATCCATTTCGTGATGTTTATTCTGGTACAATTATTTACGATATAAGAGAATGCGTAATTTGACACCTTGCCTTTCCCGTTTCTTTTTTATGCTGAAAACACTTGTCAACTTCTTTCTTAAACTCTGATATTCTATTTTGCTAGGAATAACAACGTCTTTGCTGTACATATATACAGTAGTCATGCTTTTCCCACCTTTTTGTTTATAAACTGTAACTCTTTTGCAATTACATCCAATATATTGATTTTTTTTCAGCATAAGCAACAACTTTGTACCTGAAATCTATTAAATTTTACTCCGTGACCCTGGTGTTGTTTCATGAAAGAATTAACAACGGATAAGTACATAATTATTGTTATGACTTGTCAATAACAGTATCGTGAGAATTACTGAATGAACTTCGTGACAGTCTCGCGAAAAGAACATAAATGAAATCATGGCTAGGTTAATTTAACATCTGGTTCAATGGATACTGTATTGATTGGTTTATCTGATCAAAACATCATGTTTACCTAAGGAATAACAGTGCATACCAGTTTGAAGCCAAGCCTTATAGATTGGTTTTTAGTTAAAACTTAATGACTTAGATGCTTTAAGTATAAAACGTGTACGTATTGTACATGTTTATAGCTAGTTCATATTAGTGAAGAAGCTTTTGGACAAAAACAACCCATTCCATAAACAAACCAATTGAAAGATATAACTTCTTTTATTACATGATTTACATTCAAGGTCATGTGGTGACGTTGCAGCTTTACAGGTTGATGAAGATCTCGAGTGCCACTAAGCGCAAAGTTTAGAACTCGAACCTGCATTACGGGTAGAACCATTAACCTCCCTTAAGCTAACTGGATATTGTCCTGGCATGGAAGAATCCAAATTACTTAGCAGGATAACGGATTCACAGTGGTTAAGGGCAAGTGATTTTAAGTCAGCAGCCTTAACCACTTATCCTTAGAGGTTACTAAATTTATATTAAAAATATATATAAGCAGATTTCAGTAAATTGAAGCATTGGTCTAATATTCCCATACCTGTGTCTGTCAGCCCAGTATAAACGTTCTTTACTTTCATCATAAGCCACGGATTCTATGTTAGACTGTCCATCCCCATAAAACAATGTAATAGGTTCTGTAGAAAGGTCTTTATCTAAACTCAGTAACTGTATCTTATTGATGTCTGCATACAGTAGAAAATTATCTGGTCCTAGGTAAATATAAGAGAGAAGCAATTGTACATTGTATTTTCAATGACATTCATTTTATTCTTCCCAGAGACAAAGCATGGCCTTCTAAGAATTTGATTTCAAATGAAAATGATGGAATAAACGTATCTAGATCTTTCTTTTATCTAGTATGAATATATAGACACATACCTAAAAGATTGCTCAAGTTAAAAACCTCAAGGTACTCACTTGCCCATTAACAATACTAAACATGGTATGTTCCTAATAGACAAATTAAGCCCTCCAAGTACATTAATTAATAACACATCTATGGTGAACATTCAGGAACAAAATTTCAGAATGAACTTGAAAATGTGGTCATGAACATTTCAGACAGTCCTTTGAAAAACTGACCATGACCTTTATAGGTTGTGGTCTTCAATAATTCATTCTTTCATTGCACTTTTTCAGGCATTTCTAATTACAAATGAGAAAAGATTAAAGTGTCCAAATATGGTATGGTGTACAAGTGTGCATTAGTCACATTATCATATTTCAAGAAAAGAGAGACCCAATGAAAGCAATGATGTCGAAAATAAATGATATCGTCGAGTCTGTTTATGGGATTTAATGAAGAGGGTAATATCATGCTCCCCAGCAACGACTCTTAAAAACAACACACTTACGTTTGCAATTCTTTTGATCATTATGTAAAACAAGACTGCTCTGAGCCGGACAAGAACACCGCACGTCAGTAGGATAATGGCTGGGTAAAGGAACACACCCGTGACTGCATCCGGCATTAATACACTTCGTAATATGATCTGAAAGAAATTGATATAATGCTATAGGTAAGTTGATATAGATATTAACTAGGGACTTGATAATTCTTTTTTTTTATAAACATAGATATGTCATCGTTAAGAACTACGTGAGTTTTATGTATTTATAAACACACGTGATATAACCACATTAAGGAAGCCTTGTGTTTTATGTGTATCTTTTAATGGATAATATAAACAACTAGACTTTGTTCCCAATTATAAATATTGTTAAGGTGACGCAACCATATTTCAAAATAGTTGTATGTAGACTTTGTATTTTGGGTCGCAGGCCTTAGAGCACAGATAAAGTTATTTGAATCTTGAATTGAATCATTATATAATTACTAGTCGTTTCTTGATCGAGTCAAAGAGACATGGTAATAGATATGGCAAACCCACGTGACTGAAAAATAAAACAAATGAAATACAAACAATAAGAGTAAGAAAGACATAACTTATATATACACATACCTTCTGTTTTTGGATCTGTTATTGTAAAGGCAATATCTGCGACTAGTCCATGTTCCAGCAACGTGGTCTGTTCCGTGTCGTTATATACCAGTAGAGAACTTTTTACAGCGTCGGCAATGTATAGTACATCCCCGTTACTTCCTATACTGTATGTTGTCTAATTGAGACAAAGAAAAATGTAGTTTATTCTTCAATTTTCTAAGTTTTGGTTCTTTATATTTAACAAGAATAATGGGAAAAAATAAAGAAAAATTAGAAATTAAAAAAATACAACAATCTAGTGTTTTCTTTTTCAGTAATGTTTTGGAAAAATCAATTGTGTGACGTAGATATACGTTTGGTAGAGGAGGAAAATTCATTTACAATGGTGTAACATATTCTGCCCGATTACTTCCCTTAGATTTTAAAAACGCCATATGTAACTTGACCTAGTTTAAGCAAAGTCATGTAGACATTTAATATATTCTAAATATAACCGTTATTACCTTATTTGTTTTAATCGCATCCGTCTCGGCTTCTTTTTCTGTGTTATACTTTATTAGAACTGTCTCCACTGTGTTATTTTCGTACCTTCTATCGGCTATAGTTAATATGTTACCGGAAATAGCTAGGCCTAGAGGGTCAGATACATTGACGCGAACATTGGTTGCATTAGACCCATCAAGCTCCGTTCGTATGACCTCCGGAGCATGCCCAGCGAGTGCTATATACAGGTAACTGGAATGAACGGTTCTATATAAAACTATATATATATGACTTATATAAACAATGAAATACGACGCAACAAACGTGCAGTTTTATAAAAAAGTATAGTGCTCTGTGCATTTAACATATGTTTACACTTTAATAAATATACAGAAGAAATGCAATTAGCTCTTGGAAGTCAAAAACTTAGCACTGATCAACAGAAAGAAGAAAGTAAACAAAACATAAAATGTTCTAATAAAAACGTGCCAGTAGCAACACTTATTAAAATTTTGATGTTGCCACTTTAGTACTCTTACTAAATGTCAACAAAATGTGTAATTCCTATCATTTCAATCACTCATTAGTTACGGTAGCTTGAATATATTTGGAAACATAACCTATCATTTCAAGGAATAAAACAATTTTACGCATGAATGCTTTGAAAAGAAAATTTAAAACGCTATCTAAATAATATTTTCATAGCGTAATTGATAAGCATTTATTTGAAGCGACGTTCTTTTCTCCAAAAAGTTTTAGCCGACGGAGGTAATACAATGTATATGATTTCGCAACACTATTATCTTCCAATCGCATGTTTCAGTAGGGAGACCTTCAGATTTGCAATATATTTGTTGCTGGTCCGATCCTCAGCAGAGGCAAAATTTGCACCATGGCAACTGATCTCGGACTATGAGTCTGTCATCTGTCTCTCACCGCTGGAGGAATAAGTAGTATGTTACTTAGCATTAGGTAAATACTGGTTATTTATCCAGTTATCCAGAAAAAGCCGGTTAAGGTGGACCGGCCAAAAAATTTTATAAAAATATGATTAAATCGGCGTCAAGCCAAACAAAGAAGCAGTTATTCAATATTACCTTCCATTTTCATCAACAACTATTCGAATTGGTTTCTTGTCGCTCTTTAGTATAGTTTTTCTATTCTCTGTATGGACTTCTATCATTTCTACAGAATGTAGACTGTGCACCTTTCCGTCATAGTTCGCTTCAATAAGCACGGCATTTGTGAAATATAGACAACCAGTCACCGGATTGAACGACAGGTCTGGAACAAAATATCAGAACTTGTAATTTTGTAGACAGACTAGACAGCAAATGAATATATATCATTAATTTATCATTCATACATATTGCGGAAGGGAAATACAGGAAAACATACAGCCCCTTGAATAAGACAATACGAAATATAACTCGAAACGCTTCAAGGGAAGCATTGCTTAATGTTTATATGGTATATAAATATACAGGGTTTTTCTAACATTATATGAAGCGGACCGATCACCCCACACACGTCTTAATACCAAAAATGCCATCCAGCACAATTGTTTTATTCCATTACAAGAAATAAATAAAGCATTAAGTTGCAGTAGCGTGTAATTAAATGATATAAATGTCAGGATTTTCCAGTGAAAATCAACCTAACCAACATGCTGCGCATATCAAAGATCTTCGCATCTATAAAACATTATCGTCATGTAATTTTGAACATTACTCATGTTTGCAATGGAAATGGCTCAGCAATCGGTGATGTTATCGTTTTCTGAGTGTCTGTTATTAAAATATCGTCTGGCATTAAAATATCATGTGATAAAAAATTGATTGATACAGTCGGTGTCATTACATATAGACAAACACGGCACAGGCTTGCTTTAAAACACGTTCTTAGATTCGTTTTTTATATAAGCCTAAATAAAAAGACAATTCATTAAAAGTTCCTACATTTGTATACATTGTTTACTTACACACCAACTTACCATCGACACGACCTATTCCATTCGTTTTATCCAGAAATACAGCCTTTTCTGTCCCTTCTATTCTACTTCTATAAATAGTACCCTCTGACGTGTCACTCCAATATACCATCTAGCAAAACATGATAAAAATGTAAACATAGAGTTTTTCAAAGATCAATTATAATGCCAATCTTTTTTTCTAATCTTCTTTTTATTATTCTTCTATTTTTGAAGTTACTAACGCTTGAACGTTCTGCTTACAATGCCTATATGACCCTTGCTGGTGAAATATTTATAGAATGTTAATAAACTTTGCTGCTCGCTTTTCAGTCAGCCATATAACTTTCAGTATGCAATCCATCAACAATGTAAGATGAAATAGTCAGTTTTTAATATGTAGCACAGTCAGGATTACAAAAAGTACGAACGTTACTTCTTTTTCTGAGCAAAATTAATCAAGAAATGGGAAAACATAATGAAACATCTTTAACTCTTTGCAGCCATCATGTGAATTCAGTCAATAATACGCATTATAATAAATTAGCGTAGTCCCCAGTTACAATTATGTAGCAGAGATTTACCCCTATATTCATCTCGTAATTTAATCAAGCTAAATACGTACATGATCTCTGCGATCATAAGCAACGGCCCCTGGAGATTTCGATGCACTTATTAAATGGACTTCGGTACTCCAGCCAGGATCAATAGCAATAAATCCAACATAACCAGTGTCCTCGAAACTAAGTAGCAATGCCTCCTCAGGAACTGCAAATAATAAGATTTTTTTAAAGAAATACAACCTACCGAGGGCGTGATCAATTATTTGTGTGTGCGCGCGCGCCTGCGTGTGTGATAGAATGGTGTGTTCGGACAAGCATATTTGTACGAGTATGAATACATCAAACATCGTTTTGTACATGTTTGCCATGTTGTGATACTAGTCCATTATTTTATTCACAAAGTATTCATTGATTACGCGGTTAAGCATAAGTTGTTCACTAATACACTGGGAAGCACCTTTTCAAGGATGGGTCCAGACCAGAAAAGGTATGATATATCTAAGTTTAACTTGTAAACTCGAGTTTAAGGAAAAGATATGTGTAACTTTTAATGCACTTTATGTTGTTGTGACATTTCTTGAATGTATTGCTTTACATTAATACAATGTAACTGTTAGGGAATTTCAAAAACAATATCATAAAATTTAGTACTATCAGAAAATGATTGCCTTACAATTGGATACGTTACGTTTATCAAGTTGTTTTAAATAAGATATTAGATATTACAATGAAATTGTAGACTTCAGAAGAGCTCAAGGCCGTATTGAAGGTTAAACAAAGTAAGTCAGGTTTTACATTTTGCTGTTTAAATGAACAAAGTACAATTCTGATGCACTCTTTAAGAGCATAATACTGATATTAAATTTCATGTTATTGCCTCACCTCTACAAGTTTTCCCATCAGAGGATAATGCCAATCCGCCGTAAGTTGGACACGCACAAACATACTGTGTTTTATGTGTTGGAAGGCACAGATGAGAACATCCGCCGTTATCATCTTCCATACAAGGATGGTACGCTAAAACATTGTAAAAATGACCATTAATTGTCGTCTGCTGGCACAGTTTTTGAATTATTAACTTGAAACTTGATCTGTATCATCTGTTTTAGAAAATTAAAGGCAGACACACAATCGATTTTAAGTCTTAATTTTACGTATAAAAATTTTAAAAATTGATACCAAATGGATGAATGAGACCAATTACTGTGCATCAATTCAGAAATTCAATTACTTTATACATGTATTATGTTCTGTGTTTTTAACATATTATCAATATTAGTTTAATATTTTTGTTGTATAAGTTTACATGGCAAACGCAAAATAACATCAATAACAAATGAAAAACATGATATAATGCACATAAAAGTGTTAGTTCAAAGGTCCCTTTCACGGACAAGATTCTATGAAAACATGTTTTACACTACGTTATGTATAAAATAATATCTTACTCATCGGCTGCATGGTTGGGTTAAGGCTTATCAAACTAAACAGTTCTCTAGTTCCAAGATTAGTTATCTCTTGCTGCCAGATGAGCTTCTTGGAGTTTAACACGAGGGAGTAGATGGCGGTATTAAACCATGTGCTGATCACCGCCAAGTTGCCGAAGACGATCAGTCCAAATCCTGGCGATCCTTTCGTCAACTGCTGCAAGTCGACCTGCTTCTTGCATTTCTTGCCGTTCAGTTTACACGAGAAAACGGCATGTTCCCACGCGTCGACCCAGTAAAGTTGCCTGTAAATAGAGATAAGTCACATTTTGCGAGAAACAGTGATGAACTCGGATGTCATGGGATTTGTCTATATTTGAAATCGTTATTGCTATATTATACTTGATTGACAATGTGACAGTAGCAGACGTAGAATCACCATGATAAAGTCACGTGAGAATAACGATAATGTTCTGTTCATGATTTAATTTTCTTCAAATTCTTTTCTCATATCTGTTACGATGAAGATCCTTTTTGTATGTGTTGTATGTGGTGTCGTTTTCTAAAGATTTTGGAAAATCACTGAGCTAAATATAGCGAAATATTTTTGTTTGATTGTTTTTATATATCTTAAAAATGTAATTAAGCAACATGTTGAAAGGTTGTCTTGTAAGATAACAATCAGTATCTTACCAGTCGAAACCTGTGGATTATTTTTGTAATGGACCTGCTTGACATTGAATGTGAAACAGTCCATTGAATTTGAAATGATTTCAAAAAAACAAAAACAAAACGAAAATGCAAAACATCAGCTATAATATATAATATGATATTATGAAAAGTACCTGCTCGTTTTTATCTATTTTGTTAAAGCTATTCTAAACAATCATTGCGCTATTAACTATTAGTTTGTATTACAATGTAAACATTTTATCTGGAAAGGTGTTGCTATGAGATGATGTTATTAAACAATCAAAGATGGAATTTGTTATACAGTGCACACAATGTTACGAATCAAAGTACAGCACACATTCAATGTTGTCCCGTTCCACATTGTGGCAAATTCTAAAATACGTATAAGTATTTCATCATTTGTTCTATATTTTTTAGTTTCATAGTTTTATTTAAAACCAGAAATATTTTTGTCGTGAAATACAAACACCAAAGTAGATATAACATTAAAACAGCAAGAAGCTCTGGTGGCATACCGCTACATATTCTATAAGGAGCTCTTCAAGTTGTACTAGGAAATTGACTGATTGCTGATACATGTAACTTGCCTTATTGTTGTTAGTACCCAGCAATAAAATTACGCACTTTTATTTATACCGCTTAAGAAACCATGGTACTAAACCCTTTACATAGTTTCAAATAAAATACCAACACGTAAATGCTATATGTCATAAACTTAAGAGTATCTCAAATTAAGTCAAGGTTATTGGTTTTTCAATCATAATAAAACATTCTCTTAATATTCTTGTAGATATTATAGTAGTATTACTGTCTAAGACGCATGTCAACAACAGAAGCAAACTATAAGCTGTTTTCCCGAGAGGCATTCGTATGCTAGTATAAAAAGATGTCAATCTTATTGCTAAAATAATCTCTTAAATAATACAAATTTACCATAAAATAATTTAGAAATGGACTTTGTCAGTTCTGATGATGTCTCGTGCTTTGGAAGTATAGATAAAGATCTAGAAACTTGCTTTCAAATAGAATAAAATAAAATTATTTACCGACATATAAAAAACTGCCTTTGAAGCTGTGGAATACAATTTTCATTAAAATATAACAATTGTCTTTGAAACTACATTTATATATTCTGTTTTTCTGAATTAGCTTAGTTAGATTTACAAAGCGATGGAACAGAAAAACTTTGGTAATAGTTTGCTTTTGGCAATTGCTCACATATTTATTATTGAAAGTGATAAAAATACAATACAAATAGTATATAAACGAACACCCTGGATGCAGCACAACTTGCTTTATATACTTTCCTTAAAACCGTATACTTGTTATTCAAAACATTAAATGAAATTTGCTTTAAAATATTCGACATGGCATAACACGATTTTGGTATAATAAACTGGTTTGTAGACAACAAAATGCATGCTATAGATTTATCGAAAAACCGTTGTATTTTTAGGAGTATTGCAATAGGATAACATGATACGCTTTCACTATTATGTTTGTTTTGTAAAAAGTCACTTTAACGTGGGTTGGTCAGACACATATTTCATATTTCCGTGTCTCGTAAATATCCATTACGACGATAAATGGTCGTGCAAGAGATGTCATAATTAAGGAAAAGCCACAATTGTCTTCACAAATGTGTAATGTTTCTTTTAAGGAATATAAAGTATTTTATCATGAAAATGTGAAAGCCATTTAGCACAATTTTTGGTTGTTTTTTTACTGCTTTTTTGTTTTGACTTTTTGTATGTTTGGTTTTATGGCGCACCAACACAATATAAACTTGTGTGTTACACCTCACCTGCTGGAGCTACTTTATTATTTTTTTAATGCGTTTATTTAAGGTCGCCACCGGAAAGCCCATATGGGCGACCGTACACTACAGTCGGGCCATCCTAGAGCGTCCCGCCGAGATTTTTTCGTCGATTTTTCCAGCTTTTATTGGTGGAGGAAGACCCCAGGTGCCCCTCCGGGCATTATTTCAGGCACGAGCGGGCACCTGGGTAGAACCACCAACCTTTCGTAAGCCAGCTCAAGCCCAAGTCACATTTTGCGAGAAACAGTGATGAACTCGGATGTCATGGGATTGGTCTATATTTGAAATCGTTATTGCTAGTTTATACCTGATTGACAATGTGACAGTAGCAGACGTATAATCACCATGATAAAGTCACGTGGGAATAACAATCATGCTCTGTTCATGATTTAATTTTCTTCAAATTCTTTTCTCATATCTGTTACAATGAAGATCCTTTTTGTATGTGTTGTATGTGGTGTCGTTTTCAAAAGATTTTGGAAAATCATTGAGCTAAATATAGCGAAATATTTTTGTTTGATTGTTTTTATATATCTTAAAAATGTAATATAACTACATGTTGAAAAAAGGTTGTCTTGTAAGAAAACAATCAGTATCTTATCAGTCGAAACCTGCGGATTATTTTTTAATGGAACTGTCTGACTTTGAATGTGGAACAGTCCACTGAATTTGAAATGATTTCATTTGAAAAAAAAAAAAAAACAAAAAAAAACACGAAAATGCAAAACATCAGCTATAATATATACTATGATATTACGAAAAGTACCTGCTCGTTTTTATCTATTTTATTAGAGCTATTCTAAACGATCATTGCGCTATTAACTTTTTGTTTGTATTACAATGTTAATATTTTATCTGGAAAGGTGTTGCTATGAGATGATGTTATTAAACAATCAAAGATGGAATTTGTTATACAGTGCACACAATGTTACGAATCAAAGTGCAGCACACATTCAATGTTGTCCCGTTCCACATTGTGGCAAATTCTAAAATACGTATAAGTATTTCATCATTTGTTCTATAGTTTTTACGTTTCATAGTTTTATTTAAAACCAGAAATATGTTTGTCGTGAAATACAAACACCAAAGAAGATATAACATTAAAACAACAAGAAGCTCTGGTGGCATACCGTTACATATTCTATTAGGAGCTGTTCAGGTTGTACTAGAAAATTGACTGATTGCTGATAACTTGCCTTATTGTTGTTAGTACCAAGCAATAAATTTATTATACCGCTTGAGAAACAATTGTACTAAACCCTTTACATACACTAGTTTCAAATAAAATACCAACATATAAATGCTATGCGTCATAAACTTAAGAGTATCTCAACTTAAGTCAAGGTTATTGGTTTTTCTATCAAAATAAAACATTCTCTTGATATTCTCTTAATATTCTTGTAGATATTATAGTAGTTTTACTGTCTAAGACGCATGTCAACAACAGAAGCAAACTGTAAGCTGTTTTCCCGCGAGGCTCCAGTATGCCAGTATGAAATTAAGTCAATCTTATTGCTAAAATAATCTCTAAAATAATACACATTTACCATAAAATAACTTAGAAATGCACTTTATGAATTCTGATGATGTCTCATGTTTAAGAAGTATAGATAAAGCTTTAGAAACTTGCTTTCAAATAGAATAAAATAAAATTATTTACCGACATATAAAAAACTGCCTTTGAAGCTGTGGAATACAATTTCATTAAAATATAACAATTATCTTTGAAACTACATTTATATATTCTGTTTTTCTGAATTAGCTTAGTTAGATTTACAAATCGATTGAACAGTAAAACTTTGGTAATAGTTTGCTTTTGGCAATTGCTCACATATTTATGGCTTTACATGGATTATTGAAAGTGATAAAATACAATACAAATACAGTTGACTCTCGGTAACTCGAAATCCAAGGGACTGGGCATTTAACTTCGAGAGAAACGGAATTCGAGTAACGTGGAACTACCACCATTACATGTATATACATGTGCCTGATTGAATGTGCAAAGGAGTAGGTTTGTTATTGTTGTTAGCGGCAATGCTGCAATATTTAACCATTGAAATGACGGTAAATCACTTACAACTGCAAATTATTAATGAACAAAAATATATCATTCAAAATTTAATACATGTATATTAATAGTGAAACAGAAACACACAATTACATTTGATTAAATTCATCATCGGACGAAAACGAAATTAGCAACTATCCTGAACTGGAAGTACAAATATGACAGATAATTAATTAAACAAATGTCCTTTACCTTGATAACACACATCAAAACCTAGGCTGTTATTTGACTAACACCCGTCAGACTGGCATGAGTCAACTTTCTTTAAGAAATGTAATTAAATTTTAATTTAGTTATCTAACTGTTAAAACCAATTAAGTCCTGAAACGGATTAAAGCCACTTTTACGACGTGCTAATAATACATGATGACCGGCAATTAAAAATTACTATGAAACGTGTAAATCATGAGTGACAACATCTCACCTTGATGTTGCCGACCTTTGATCAGACGGTTGTTTTCACACTTCGACTTATTGAGATGTAAATATGTTGGACTTTAATTGAGGGACCAAATTTTTCTTTTCGACTAAACAGGAGTCTCGGCAAGTCAAAATTTGACCTAAGCGGAGTTAAAATACAAAGATAAAGAAGAAAATTTGACGGGACTTTAGAAATTATTCGACTAAGGCGGAATTTTGAGTAAAGCGATTTTGACTTATTGAGAGTCAACTGTAGTATATAAACGAACACCCTGGATGCTGCAAAACTTGCTTAAGACCGT